AAACTGAAGACAAACAACAGCATGGCTTTGTGATTACAGTGCTGTTGACCACCTAAAATCCACCCACCCAATGGCTTTGCAATAGCTTTGGTTTCTTCTTCATGCTTACATTATAAACACAGTAGTTTCTCACTTAACTGATGACCAGGAAGTGCATTTTTGAAAAGGAGGTTTATGAGTTTAAAGAGCTCTAGAAGTGATTGTTCAGGCTTTGTCTGCCTGAAACTTTGCCAGCTTTAATATTATGTTCTATACAAAATGGGCTCATTTATAAGCTTAAATGAAGCTGCCAAAGGTTTAAGTCAGGGATCCCCAAATTCTTCACTCATAGACCCCTTCATGAAGGTTCACATTGTTAAACCCTAGAAAAACTGTATTATGCAACGGATAAGAGGAAACATTGATATATGGAAAAGATACTCCCAGTATATCACCTCTGGGAGGAATGGTTTCCAACTGGGTTCCAGGCAAAGACGATTTCCCAAAATTGATTGCAAGAGACCATGTAAGTTGTAATACCATTTCATGGAGCAAACAGATCAATACCATTTTTAATCAGGAAATGGGAGGCCTATTCAGACATAGGTTATTGCTGAGGCTTTCAATTGGTGTAAAAAGGTTGAAAGCCTGTGATTAAATACTGGAATTTCCATACCATGCTGGCTGGGGAATTGGAATTCCACAGATCTTAAACTTTCCCAGACTGAAAAACACATGTCTGATGGATACAGAATAATATTGTGCTTGAATGCTGCTTTCAAAACTCTATATTTATCAGACCATATGAACATGTGAGTACAGCTGAGCCGTTAAGGACGTCTAGAGACTGCAAATAATTACAATTCTATATAAGTTACCTAAAAACATTATTTATCAATATTAACTATTTACAGCTGAAACAATGTATCTTTTTCATTTGTTGTATTTTTTTTCTCTTTTTAAAAGATAATTTCAATGTGTTTTTTTTCCCTTTTCGTTGACAATGTGTGCATTTTCATTTTTGTGTTTTAGTTTTTCTGTCACCATTTTAAAAGCAATAAAAGAATAGAATCATAGGGCTAGTTTTCCAGTCTCTGCCCACGTAGAAGACCTTAGTGCATTCCGGACAAATGGATGTCCAATATGTCCTTAAAAAACCTTCGGTGATGAAGCACTTACTTCTGGAAGCAAGCTGTTTCAATGATTACCATAATTGTTCTCATTGATAGGATTCCCCCCCCCCCTTAATTCTAGGTTGGATCTTTCTTTGATCAGCTTCCATCCATTACTTCTTCTCGTGTCCACAGGTGCTTTGGAGAATAAGTGAATCCCCTCCTGCCTGTGACAGCTTGAGTACTGGAAGACAGTTACCATGTCACCCCAATCCAAGAATAAATAAAGTTTAAAAAAGAAATCCATGATATCGAACCTAGAATTTTACTCAAGTTCATCCAAAATACTGCGAGTAAGAAATGACTGCCTAATCTAAACTATATTTAAGCCTAGAGTGTATTCCCATATTTAGTAAGTGCTCTAAGTGCTTTGTCACTCACTTTTATCTATGTGGGAACGTGCACATTGTCACATACTGTCAAAATCTTATGACCTTAAGAACCATAAATGCCTCAAGCCAGTGTTTATCTATGTTTCTGAAAGTAGGAACCCTTTGGGCCAAATTACACAAGGATGGTAGACATCAGCGATTGGATTTTTTTGATACTTTTACTTCATTTCTTTAAAGCACCTGCAATGAGGCTTCTGAGTTGGCTTAAAATATGGGGCAATGAAGGGAGAGCTTAAAAAAAAAATTAAGCATGCTTTTTTTTCTTTTTCAGAACTACCTTACCAGCCTAGGAAGCTGCTATTTTGTTCCATGACAAAAGAAAGCATGTAGCTAAAAGAAGGGCCCAAGACATCATTCAAAACGATGTTTTTCAAACTTGCCAACTTTGGAATGTGGGGACCGGCTCCCAGAATTCCACATCCCGCTTGATTTAAAACAAAAGAGGAAAACAGTTCTAAAGAAATCTTCTTCCAATCCACTTCAGTGATGACTAAAATAATCAATCATGGATATTCACATTCCACATCATTCAAAGTTTGGTCCTAAAGTAATTTTACTTTTAGTCCCACCCTTCCTTCCTACCCAGTTGACTGAATCCACAGCTGGAAATCCTAAATACTTCATCTGAATGAGGTTCTGTGGCTGAAAACCCAAGACTTTCACCCAAGTATTTTTCAGAATATACTTTTCTACCAGATGTTTTCTGAATGTGTGGAAATCCAATATTCCTAAATAATTCCTACCTGCAATCATGGGAACTAATGCCCTTTTAGCTTTACATTTGGAGAACATCGGATTGGGGGGAAAAATAATTTTTGGGTACAGATCTACAGTCAAAATGCCAAAAACTTGCCTATGTGCCTGTGAAGGAAAATAGCTTCAGCAGAAGATGTAGGGTGTGACCAGAGTTTAGCTTAAGATAGGCAGCCATATAAATGTTTAAATAAGTAAAAAATAAAACAACAGCAGGAGAAATTTTGGGTGAAGGTTTGAATTTGTAAAAAAAAGATGCAAGTTCGTTTTTTTTCCTCCTCTGATTTCCCTACATTTGCAGTTAAAGGCAAGGCAGAATGCAGAGTATTAGCGAGATCTCCCATTACATGACTTCTCCTGCAGTTATAACCTTGTGCTGGGCTGTCTCAAATATCTAGGAAATGTGTTAAGAGGCCACCAATCTGGGGAGGGTGCCTCTCTTATTCATATGGGGAATGTTTTTTGTCATCTGAGCAATTGTTTTCTCTCTCTCATGATCAGGCTTTCTTTTTTCCCTCGTTCTTTAGAGCCCGAATGGCAATTCCCTCATTCTTTCTTTTCACTAAGGCCATCAAAGGCTGGAAGTTGGTCCTCTTAGAAGAGGAGGGAGCACAGGAATGTGGTCCAGCAGCTATTAAACATTAACTACATAATTAAATACTTGAGTTGGGCAACACTGACTGTTGCCTGAGAAATAAGGAGTGCTACTTTTGAATGTATTTCCATAGAGAAATTTGAATAGAAACTTTATTGATTTAGTCATTTGATCATATCAAAAGTGATCTATACAAATATATGTTATTCCAAGGAAAAAAATTAGGACAAGTCACTCCTACACTTAAATGTTCTAGCCTTAAAGCTAGTCTTTTATACAGTAGCAACAAAAGCCAGAAACAGAAAACTCTTGACTAATGTAATTTCTGCAACTCAGTCCTAAACGCAGTTGCATAGACGTAAGGACAGAAAATTCAACTATAGCGCATGCTCATGCCACTAAATGCTTAGATGTCTTCAGTGTCTTTTTAAAAAGTGTTCAAATCCTGCACAGTAGTGTTAAAGCAAAATAGAGAGCAATGATCATGGCAGAAATGGCGGCTCTTTGGTACACACCAATCCACGCTCATTTGACAGCAGATTGTGTGATTTTTCTCCGGCAGCAGTGGCAGCGAGGATGATCAAAGCAAAAATGCATTTCTTCAGAAGCCCTTTCTTGGGATTCAAAACCAAATCAAATTGGGAAATGATGATCCTCAAGCAAACACTCCGGAAAGTCAATCTTAAGTTGGAGTGCGAAAACGAATGCAAAAATCACAAAACTCATTTTGTTTAGCTCAGGGCTAAGAAATCCTCTCTGGAGGAACAGGTAGAGATGTTAGTCTGTGGTGGTTAAAAAAAAAAAAAAAAAAAACCAGGCTCCCGGGGGTACCTTTTCTGACTAACATCTTTTGTTAAAAGACATAAGCTATCCCAAGTTGCTGCTGGTGAAAGCTCAAGCCTTTCAATAAATCACGTTAGCCAGAAAAGATGCTTTGCTAGACTTCTACAAACACACAGCTCAGTATCGAGCATCGCTGCTATGACACAGCAGATTGTGTCGGAATCAAAACACTGGTGGGTTGAAAATCTGTGCATGCGTGCCTCAAAAAGTGGGGGTGCAAAAACGGGATAGGGAGCGGATAGGCCCGCACCTTTACAGGGCTAGCTATTTATCCGTGGGCAACGTTTTTAGATTTTTACTCCGCCTTTCCTCCAGGCTCTCGAGGGATCTCACGTAGCGGATTTCCCCAGGGACCGAAAGCGCGATCCCCACCCAAAGCCCCCCTGGCAAGAGGAGGACACCTCAAGGCAACCCCCCCCCCCGAGTCGGGGAGGGCCCGTTTTGGCGCCATTTTCCACCTTCTCAAAGGCGTCCCCGTATTCCCCCCCTTCCCCCCCTCAACCGGGTCGGTCCAACGGTCTAGAAAAGGCGCCAGGGTGTGTTGTTTCCCGGCCGCCTTTTCCTCGGCGAGCTCAAGGAGGAGCGTTATTTTTTTTACGCGCCGGCCTGGCTTCTTCCGGAGCGGGGGAAAAAAAAAAGGGCGCAGGAGGAGAAGCGAGAAAACGCCTCTGCTTGTGGCGGCTCAGCTCCCTTTCCCCAGGGGATCGCCGTGGAAGCAACCTCTCCGGCTGGCTCGGGAAGGACGTGGGGGACGTGCGGGAGAGGAGATCCCTTTTTCGGGGATGGCCGGAGGGCCCTCCTCCCCTTCCTGCTGAGAGAAGGAGGCGACGAGGGTCCGCCAGCCGGAGAGGCTTCTTTTTTTTTTTCTTTTTTGCCAGCCCTGCCGCCTGGCCATCTCGCCCGGCTCAGCCAATGGCAGCGCAGGAAGGGGGCAGGTTTTCGACTTAGTCACTCTCGCGTGGAGGAAAAGGCAGAGAGAAAGGAGCATCCTTTTTTATTTTTTTATTTTTTATTTTTTTAAATTCTCCTTCCCCGGCGGGGTCGAGGACACAGGACCGCTGGGGTCTTTTTTTTTTTTCTTTTTCTTCTTCTTCTTCCTCCTCTTCCTCTTCCCCACCCCACCCTTTCTGGTGGTCAGAGAGCCGGGAAGCGGCGCGCCTCCTTCTCCATCCTCCCGGGCCAGCTTTTTTTGGGGGGTGGGGGGTGGGGGTTGCCTTCTTCTCGGGGCTGCTGTCCGGCGAAGCCGCCTTCCCTCTCATTTGCAGGATGATCGCCGCTCAGCTGCTGGCCTATTACTTCACCGAGTTAAAGGATGACCAGGTCAAAAAGGTAAAAAAAGGCGCCGGGTCGCAGCTCCGCGGCCTGGCGCGGGAAAGGCGCTTTTTTGGGGGGGGGGGGGGGCGGGCCCCCCCCGGGGCCCCCTGCCCTTGGCCGTTGGTTTTTTTTTTTTTTAATGCACCTGGGGAAAATGAGCTCCGTCGCTTTTCGGGGCGGGGAGGGGAAGGCGCGACGGAGCAAGCCGAAAGAACCGGCCGGCTGGCAGCCCCGCTGCAGTGTCCTTGAACGGGGGATGTAGGTGTCAGAGCGGCGATGAGTAACGCCGCCGCCGCCGCCGTCATGGTTCGCCTCCTTCCCTCCCTCCCTCCCTTCCCGCTCAGGGCGGAACTTTTCGAGCGGCTCGTCCACGAGGGACGGGAGGATTCAGGGCCTAAAGGTTGCCTCCTCGCGTGCAAAAATCAAGTGTCCGGGCAAGGAGGCTGGCCGGCGAGGCTGATTTTAGCGAGTCCCTCAAGATAATCCCCTCCGATACTGAGCGGGAGCGAGGCTCGGCGCCGCCGCCGTCCCCGTCCCCCCCACCCCCCAAGTGTGGCTCGGCGCCTGCCTCAAATTTTGGTCACCTCCTTACGGTTCTGTGGTGAATACTAGTGGTATTAAAAGTGGCGACCCCACAAAAAGGCTCCCCGAAATAAAGCGACCAAAGGCGGTGACATGACGCCCAGGTGGAGGTCGTTGGATACAAAAATAAAAGGGGTAAAATTGTAGACCCTCATCTGCAAAGCTGTGTCAATAATTACCTGAAGTTGCCTCGGAGAACTAAAATTTCGGTAGTCCTAAAATTTGCAAAATATTTCCAGACGCTTAGGGATTGATAGGCTTCGGTTCAGGTGTAGGGCCAAGCCTTTTTTTAATTTTTTTTTTAATGTTTTAAAAATTAAATTTTAATTTTTTTCTCAGGGTTGAGGCACACTGCAGGCTTGGCAGAAAATAACTACTGTATTCTATTAGGAATGGGAGGTGAGCAGTTCTGTATTGGAAGAAAGTGCCACCGATTCCTTAAGGGAGGAAGTGATCCTGTGCTATATTGTGACTTGCAAAAAAAGGTCCTATATGAACTCAGAGCAAGTTTTATTAATTACCAGTGGCTTTCATTTGATGATATTTAGGGTATTTTGTGGCAATCACTTTCTTAATGGTTTTTAATATGAAATTGAGATCCACTTTGGAGTTCTTAAACGATTTTTTTCTCCTAAATGATAACTTGTAGCTCTTGCAATAAGGAAAATATACACAGACAGCAATGGCAGGAACAGAGGAAATAGTTTATGGCCAGGGTGGGGAGCCACTGTGTTCTGCCTGTATTTGTACCTTGTACAGTAAATACCTTCTTCCTGGTTCTTTTGTAGGAGGAGAGTCTATGGTAGCAAACAGTCAAGACGAAGGTTATGACCTTACGCCTTTTAGTAAAACTTGCTAGTTAGAAAAGAAGCTACCAGATTCCTTTGGATTCCATTTCCTTTTTGCTTTATTAAAAATATCTGTATCACCTTTTTCATGCTTCTGCCCCTGCCATCTCACAAATCTGCAAAAAACAAAATAAAGGCAATACTTTAAAATAAAGTAAGTGAAGCAGAAACAATGATTTCATCTGCTGTTGTAAAATATTGGTGGATTTTTTTGGTAGGAGAATGAACATATTTCATCTTAGTACTAAGAAAAATAATTGGTATTAGTACTAAAAATAATAGGTAAATACTCCGCATTTAGCTGTTTTGAATTGAAAACTATACTTTATAATAGACATAGTACTATAAAAGTAGTAGTAATAAAGTAATACTAATTGAAAATAAATCATCTGTCTTCTTGCAAAGAATATTGAAAAGAACCACGATTCTTCATAAAATATAAAGCAGGTCTTAGTTATTAGAGGTCCTGTGCATATTCAGAATTCCTACATTTTGCTGCCTTGTTGGAAAAGCGAACTCATATTCTAGATGGAGAAGTTTTAGATGATCAATACTAGATGACTGTGATAACTTGTGACTCTAGTGCGTTGTATGTGTAAGAAAGACAGAAGTTGAGATTATACGTTATATTAAACAATGGTTTGTTTTGTTTTGATAATGATTTTCTGAATACATTAGACTGATTTATATGTCAATGCTAAGCCATAAACTATGGTTTTCAAATGTAATATTTGTTTAGACAGAAATTAGAAACATGAAGAACTTCACTGAAACAAAGAAAGATGGAAGCAAGTCCAATTTTGATGGTTGATGTTAAGACAACCCCTTAATGTTCCAGAATTCTTCATAAGAAAAAGAATTTGCTATGTATGACATTGTGGGAAGCCCCTCCCCTTCTAGAAGACTAAAATATTTTGGAAAATATTAAAAGAGGCAGAGTATTATATTTCCCCAAAGGAGAAATGAAGAAACATGTTCTTAGAGGCAGAAAGCACCCCTAATTTCCTGCATAGTAAAACAGCCTCCAGCAGAAATCTTTAGAGTTGGTGATTTTGGGCTCATTAAGAAATCCTGGGCCAGCCTGTTGACAAACAAAACACCTTCACCTCCAGCAGTGGGATTAAAATGTACATCCTTATTATGTCCTAAAAGAAGGTAACCTTTTAGGACATAATAAGATTAACCCACCACTATTAAAATAGCAAAAGACACCAGGCTCACTATATTGCACAATCCCTGCAGCATTTCAGAAATGGTATAAAAGTCCTTGCATTCATCAAGCTAATTTGTCAGCTGTCCCTGAACTGCACACCGTGGTTTTTGCTTATCAATAAACTTTCTTTCCAGTCAGCCTCCCATTTTATTTCCAGTGCCTTTCTCCCAGCTTGGAACTGAACCAGATGGATTTTTCTTCCTACAACATGATTTTATTTTATTTTTTTATCTTGCACAGAATTATATGGTTGATAAAAAAATACAGACAAATGAGAACATTGATGTTTTAAGCAACTATAATAAGAAAGCCACTTGAATTAGGCATTCATAGAGGAGCCCAGATGAGATGGATGTGGGATACAAATTGGAAAAACAATTTCTTGAGCACTAATATTTGCTTAAATTCTGATAGTCGCTAGCCATAGTTCCATTGTGGATGGAAGAATTGTCAGTATGCTATTCTCCTGCCAAATTGTAAAGGTTAACAAAATAGTTACCTGCTGCTTTAAAATCATTGTCTTTGTTCTCAATTCCTCAATCACAAAAGTCTGCCTGTAAATCTAAGTGAAATAAGGACTTTAAAACTTTTACAAGATCTAGATTGAGCATGTACAAGTTGTAGCTGGCCTGTAGTAAATTCCACTTTGTCATTAAGGAGAAACTTCCTAACAGTGAGGACAATTAACCAGTGGAACAGCTTGCCTTCAGGAATGTGGGCGCTCCATCACTGGATGTTTTTAAGAAGAGTATAGACAATCACTTATTTGAAGTAGTATAGGTTCTCCTGCTGGAGCAGCGGGCTGGACTAGAAGACCTCCAAGGTCCCTTCCAGCTATTCTGTTCTGTTCTATTGACTGAAGATGGTAGAAGTTGGTTAAAACTACCTTCTTGAGTCTTTCAGCTGTTTGGGCAATCTGGTTGCAGTAGATGAAGCATTCTTCCATTTTTGTTGGAATCTCATCAGAACCAGATGTCCAGGTTTTATTTAGGATAAACAAATACTGATTCTTTTGGGATGGTTGAGGGTTTTGGGGTATAGTTTTCTTTTCCAGATGACAGCTGAAGGATTTTCCTTTGCTGTCCATCTTGGGGGAGATTGAAAGAGCTGGAACATCCCAGCAGTTTGATACTCTCAGAATACTTCGCTGTGTTCATGTTTCATGTGGCAGCTGAAGTGGATCAAGGCGTAACCTACAGTTCGTTCCAAGATTGCCTTAAAACTTGGCAGCACCATGTAGACTATTCGAGTCAGTAGATGCTATAGATCGATAGAATCATAATTTTTCCCTGTTGTATTTAGAAAAGTTGTAATGTCCGCAAAGAGATGGACCAAATGGAATTCCAGTTTCTGTATGGATTTCAGTGCTGTCACTTTCATGCATTTGGATGGCCAACTGATACTTCATGGTGTGGATGTTGATTGCTTGGTGCAACAAGGAAATGCTGTTCAGTTGAGTGCTGTAAATAAATAAAGGCTACACCAATGCAAGTCATTGACTTTATGTTACTACATGTGTATGTTTTTGGACTTCCCCAGATAGCTTCTTCAGACAAGGAAATAAAGAGCATACACAGATATTCTACATTAAGTTCATTTGACCATATAGCTAAAGCAACAAAGTACAAGGGGCAAACTATGGAGCAATAAGGTATAGCTAGTCCTTGACTTAACAACCATAACTGAACTCAAAATTTTCAGTGCTAAGCAAGGCAGTTATTAAGTGAGTTTCCCCCACTCCCCACTTTTTTTTTTGATTCCATGGGAATGCTGCAGTGGTCATAGGTGTGAAAATCAGCCATAAGTCACTTTTTTCAGTGCAGTTGTAATTTTGAACTGTTGCTAAACATATGGTTGTAAATCAACTACTGCTTGTAACACATACAGTGACCTTAGGTTTAGTCCATGTAATTATAGATTGTCTTCCCCTTCTATGTTTCTTCATCTTGCCCAAGTACTATTTTTTTTCTAATCCATCATCTGTTTATATCACATGGTGACCTGATACTGTATGAATTTTTGCTTGTTGATCGTCATCTCTAGGGAACAAACAACCTTTATTAGTTCCAGGATAGATTCTTGTAGTCCATGGTGCTTTAATACCCATCTCTAGATCCATAATTCGGTCTGTCTTCCTTCTCTTGTTCTTTTTTAGTATCTTCACAGCTGATCAAAGGGAAACCATTGCTTTAATTACACTGATCCTTCCCTTCCCCCTACAAATGTCTTTTCCTTTATGACCTCATCTAAATTTGTTGTTGCCTTCTAGGTTTAAACTCCTTTTTATTTCTCCAGCACGTTTTCTTTTTTATTCATCAACTGAGTTTACTAAGCAAGTTGGTTGATATGTTTTTGCCTTGAGTTAAACCAGT